TGAAAATATTTTATTTTTAAGTATATTAGAGTGGAATAAGATATTGAATTTTTTTGCTATTCATCTCTTTCAATAACCAATAAAAATTTCCTTTCATAATAATGTTTAAATTGTTAAAATATAAATTGATTAATAAATAAATTTTTATCCAAAAATTTATACATTAATTTTCATTTTTAAGAACGAAGAAATCAAAAAACAAAATTCTTGCGGATATAACTTCAGAAATTAATTTCACAAAAATTATTTTTTGCGTATCAAATCTTCAATATCCTCCACTATTAAAAAATAATTATACAATTATAATTTTTTCATTCCACTCTAATATACAATTGCTCCCTTTTTCAATGTTTATACAACGATCGATTCCTTATAGTCTATTCGATTCAAAGTTTTTCAACAATTAAAGATTAAAATATCCCTTCAATCATAATTCACCGGAATAGAAACTTCAACGCGAGATTTTATTTTATAAGGAATCACGATATAAACGGTTGATATCCTCGCAAGAAGCGAACCGTGGTGTTTGTTTCGTGAACGAAACGAATCGTTGTATGTTGGAAATCTCACTGGTTATCGCTAAATCTAATTGCAACAGAGCAAATTGCATCCCTCTTCCCACCTGATATATCCTTTTCGGCTCTATTATCTTATTATTTCTCGCGGGAATTGCGGTCGTCGAATGACTAACGCAAAGAAGATCCCTTGGTAACGATGTAAGTAAGGAAAACGAGTTTCTGACAGTAGTTTGCTTTTCGAATAAATGTCCGGCTCGTTGCGGATGCAATCAGTTTCGAGATACAAACATACACTAATTGGGAAGGAAAGTTCCAACGAGGTTATCCGATTTACTTGCTGATTTTCGAATTTTATTTGAGTTGAGCTTTGCTATTTCGTGCGTAATTTTCTTCATTACGCGGAAATTTGTGTTTTAATGAATATAAATGAAGAAAGGAAATGACTGAACTTGGTTAATGAAGATTGGAGTAAGTTGATACAGGAATAGATTGATACAGAGATATGGTGAATACGTGTTTTTAGGAATTTTTTTTTATCATAAGTAATTAATTTAAGTAAAATTTAAAAATATTAAAAATCAAGATTTTTAGCGAATATTATTTATATATCATTATTAATTTGTTTATCGATTAATCTCTTCACCGTGTCGATCATTAATGTGATCATGATGTACCCATAACAAATTGGTGTAATTTTTCATATATATTTAACGCTATTATAAAAAAAAAATAATCGTACAGTGTAACGTCAACTATAATTAACCGCCATTCTTCAAGAAAATTGCAAAATCGTCGATCCAGATCCATAATTCATTCGACAATTTTATAGAACAAGGCAAGCCGGATTATTGCTTTCTTTTTTGAACAATATTTTTTTTCCTTTATCGAGTTATAAATCGTTTTTCCTCGATATATCGTTCTCGATAGCATTACGGAGACTTCGGAGATTAAATACCCCGCGAGCAAGTATTATGGGTCTTCGTTCTGTATCTATCCCCGAAGCTATACTTGCGGTATCGATCGGCGAACGTCATTCCTTCCCTCCTACCATATCGTTCTCTTTTTCCGCTTCTACGAATAAGGATGTAAGCTTCCACGGGTTTCTCCTAGACAAGAGATCTCTGCCCGGTTCTTCCTTGATGCAGCACGTGGCGATATAATATTTCGCCCCGTATAAACGGTCCCGTGGACGATAAAGGGAGGCTATCATCTACTCGTGGAATTTCGGGCTTTTTAAGTCTTCCGCCACTTGTTTCGTCCGATCCTTTGCGCGGATATCGACCGATCGATTCAAAGGTATCTCGAATCGGTTCTCGTGAAATTTCGAAATTTTCGATGAATCTAAAGCGAAGGGATTAAAGATTGTAATTTGATTGTAATAGAATTCTTGAGATGTTCGATGGATGGATGGAGGATTTGTTTAAAGTTGCTGGAGATATTGTAGAATGTAGATTCCAGTCGAAAACAGACAGACGGATGTTGAAAGATATATATATA